ACTTGCTCTGAGGGGAGGAAAGGGAAATCTGGGACACTTTCACTCTGAAGTGTTTTTTGCTTGTTTCCTCATGATGCACAGGTACCTCCCTGCCTGGGAATTCTCCTTCATTATCCACAGTCCCTACTAACTTCAAAAAACATGTCCTCTGTAAACTCCTACACAAGCTGGCATTCTTATTTCCTACACATTTAAGCTACTCTGACTGCAACATTCACTTCACTTCCTGGCTTTCACCAACTAAACTCCAGCTTCAACTCTCCAACTCCATGGATTGCTTTTATGTTGCTCCAACTTCCCAGATACATGTTTTCTCTAAAACTAAGGGTATGACAGTTGTTTGGGCACATAAGGTCCCGACCATAATACAGATAACTAACAGACACCAATTTCTAGGAGTCCTCTAATGTAATTTTGCATATTTACCTTTCATTCTTCCTGTACAAGGTGCATTTTTTGAAAGAAAAAAAGAGATAAATGTAGGCTTGGCCATGCAGTCCTGGAGAAGGAGATATAGCTAACAACATTTTGGAGTCACCAAGTGGTCACATTAATTACTCCTCCAATAAAAAGAATTGTGCCTAAATGTGCCTCATCCCATACTAGTTTGAGAGAATAAACATGACACACAAGGCATTGAAGGAGCCCATCAAAATTATTTTGTTTCATCACCCATTAACCACAAAATAATCACATCTGTAAAATACAGAGAAGCCTGAACTCATTTCCAGGGCTCTAAACATGTGCTTCTCTATGTGTGGATACCATCTTCACATCTTACAGACGTTTCCTCTGTGTTGCACAAAGCAGGTCCTTGCTGTATGATGTACTGAAACAAACCTAGCAGGAGGCAAGGGAAGAGTACTTGAGAACACAGTCTAAATCATGAGGTTGCCAAAGGTCTGGGGATGGTCACAATATTTTTCTTTCGAGGTGGAATGGCTGGGTTTCTTATCTAGAACTCTCAATCTCGTGTAGTATGAGCACGCAGTGGTTGGAAGAGCTGGAAATACCCACTATTGTCAGCTGTGAGGAAGAAAGAAAGTGCTCTATATTGCTCTGGTCTTTTGTTCTGAGTGATGTTTCTGTCACTCAACGAATTTTCTCAGCTTTTGAAAATCTTACCTACAAATACGTACAGAGTTAAACTCTCACAGTGTTTGGGAGTTTGTTTAGTAGGGTAGAGTGATAAACCAACTTTCCACACAACTGACAGCAGACTTTTGGAAATATAAACCACACAGCAAAACAGATTCAAATCATCCCTGGATCTGACTGTGCTCACTACTTTCTTTCTCTGTAAGTCTGCATCTTCTTCAGCCACTGACCTCAATGTTCACGCAGATACTGATCCTTAACGAATAAGTGACCCAGATATCACTTGATCTTTCCTTAAATTACATTAACTACTGTGTGGTTTAGTGATTTCCACCTGGAAATACTGCAGGCTTGAGGAATCTGTGAAAATGAAGAGAACTGTAGAAGTTGACATACATTTTTCCTTGAATATACATTGATGACAACTTCTGAATTACAAGTCAAACCCTGTTATACAGGGAAGAGAAAAAATATGTTTAGCATTTCACTTTCCAGTTTTCCCCATCTATTTGGTCTACAAGGCCAGAGGAAGGGCTTAATGAGAGATGTAGCTAGGTGTTTGGTATTCAGACAGTACAGTGGGCCTCAAAATGCAGAGCTTTGGTATGCAACAAGTCTGCCTATTCTAGAAGTTTATTATTTAGTAGCTTCTATTTCAACTTTGCAATTAGTCTGAACATCTGATCATATAAACAGTAATAGTAGAATACTCACAGGTCACACACAGGCCCATACATTCATTTCCACCTATAGAGAGAAGGGGTGTTTACAAGAGTGTTACAGGGTACAGAAGGATGCCTTTCCTTGAAGTTCTCTTCTGATCTTTAAGAGCTTAAAAATAACTTTTTGGGCAATACAGAGAATGCCTCATATATATGGTTGGATTTGAGAAGCTAGTTGGGAGTTGAGGAGAGTGTTAAATAAAGGCAATTCAGCTGCACTGCCTTGTGGGCATAAATATCCTTTTTATGAGATTCTACTAGCACAATTTTATTTCAGTGCACAGATTCAGCTTTAAAGAAAAAATACAGCTTTTCTTCATTCAACAAATACTGGAGGGTTTTGTTGTGCTCATATATGTCCAAAATAGACATAATAAACTGAAATTGACCATCTCTCTGCTCCCAAAACATAATATTTCAGCTACAAACATTTTATTAGACAGTTTCTTGTCTCATTCCCTATTTACGTCTCTCTTGAGTCGCTCTTCACTTCATCTCTGTTCCTGCTCATAAATGGATGAGATGCGATAACAGAGGAAGCTGATCCCACAGATGAGGCGCAGTTAAGGCCAAAGACTTAGACTCTGCATGCATCTATTGGCTTTAGTATTTGTATTGACAAGATCATTCCCCTGTAATCCAAGCCACAATTGAAACACAGATTAGAAAGCAAACATTCAGGCCAGAGGCAAGCACTTCCCACAGGCAGTGGAAGCAGCCTGCCAGTACACTCCTAATGTAAGCAGTTTTGAAGAGACCCTTTTTACCACCACATAGCCAGATGCAGAAGTTAACACAGTATGTTGCCTATGCAGATGCAGAACATCATCTACAGGAAAGCTGTTAACCACAAAGCTCCTATCAGCAGAGATTACACTTAACAAGGTAGCGCTTGGGTTGCTGTTCCAGCTAGGCTGTACAGGTCACAGTGTCTGTAGCAGTGTGCTCTCGCCGACTCTTGGAGCAGGCACTGCATTTTGCCCAAAAGTAAACATGGGAGGCTGATCCACAACATAGCACAGTTAGGGGGGAAATCAGGAGGTTTACCTTGAAAGTAGATTTCAGATGGGAAGAAAGAGGCAACTGTACAAGGCTTGGAGAAGGCAATGCTTTTCTTACACTGTTATATGGCGAGGCAAGAACAAGGTTTGTGTGGGATTAAATCACACATGGTTGCAACTGAGCAGAACTGATTATCATTTCATGATAATTTCATTAAGCTCTTGAGGAATGCATACCTCATGTATATCCACAAGAAGTTGGGAGCAGCAGATAGGAAAACTCTCCCAACACCCATTTCTTTTATGTCAGAAAAATGCTATCAATGTAGCAACTATGATTAGTAGTCTGTCTTCAGCACTTGAATGAGCCCTAATCTTTCACGACACCCTAGTAGACTGTTGTCTCAAGGACAGCCTTGAAAGGCCAAAAAAAGGCAAGCAAAGCACTGCCCAGGGGTGGGTGCCATGTCTCTCCTTGTGCCTCATATACCCTGCAGCAGCAAAATGAAGGACTGAACACACCAGCTGTTCAGCCCCATGGCAGGGCCTCTCCCAAGTGCTTGTGTGTCACAGGATTCTTCCCACGAAGCCAGAGGCTGTTTATTTGGTTTTCGGGTTTGGTAGCTTGGCCCACACCCTAGCATCTGAAAAGGCTTACCAACAATTCCAGCTCCGCCTTTTTCCTGCTCTTTTAAACCATACTTCGATGAGTCTTGCACAGAAAATGTGTCTCTGTTTCATAAAGATCAGCATGCTCTGCTTCCCGAGTCCCTGTGCTTTCTCTCCACATTTAGCTAGAAAAGAAATTACCGTATAGGCAGAGGAACAGAATTTCTAGGGAAAATACTGAAACTGCTTAAAAATGAAGATTTGGTGATCTGCCAGTATTTCTGACAACTAAAACAGGAATGTAAAGCTATAGAACCACAAAGGTTTCCACAGGGCACAATTTAAATGATTTACTACAAACCAACAACAGTTCTATAATGACCTGCCCAAATAATTACCAGTTCATTGTTTCACACCTTCATTTTAAATGATTAATTCAAGAAGGCAATTTATTTTAAACAGTGAATCAATATTTTACTGTATAGTTTCTACCAAGTCTGCTTCTCTAACCATCCTGGGATTTTCCTGAGTAACACAGCAGCATAGACTTTGCGCTACAATTGCTCTAACCTTTCAGCTGTCTTTCAGGCTGTATTTGTTCTGTTTTTTTTTGTTACAATAGCTGAGACTGAATTGGGTTTTAAAGGAAAGGTGTGGACAGCCTGTGAAGTTCAGTCAGAGCAGATATAAAAGGATTTAGAGAGTAAATTTTGCTTTATGCCCAGACTTGGCCACGTACAGAAGGAAGGGAGAGAGGTTAGCTGAGGATGAGAGGCTTTTAATGAATTGCTGGTCACATTGTTTGGTAAACAGCTCCCAGGAGGACTGTGCTTAGCCGTGTCATTTCTAACTTTGATACGAGATTAAAAGCCTGGAAGAGATATCATCATCATTTTTTTTCTTCTAACTTTTCAACCAAGTTTAGGAATTGTTTGGGTACTTAGTGCACTGTACAAACTGAGATCTGTACCTGAGGAGATACGGAGAGTAGATGTGATATCTCTCCATTCTGCAACTTGAAGGCATAAAATAGAGTACATGTTGGAGCAAGAACTACTGATTCCATTAATTCTATTTTGATGAGAAAGAACTATTAATTCTATTCATTCTTTTCTGATGACCACTCGGATCATGTCAATGTTCTTTGCAAATATTATCTCTTAATGCAACTATCAGTCATAATTCTGTTAGACAGGTATATATAAGGATCAAACTGAATTCAAATTGAAAAAATAATCTGTAGAGCTGTTTTTTTCTTGAACCAGCAGAACTGGAGCCCTTATTCTGAAACGTTCTTAAAGCCTCAGCTCCAATTCATGTCTGAATTTGTTTTAAAACACATTCAACTCCCTAGATAAAAACAAGCTGAAAATTAATATAAACAAGCTAAAAGAAGACTTTGACAGTGAAATTCTGCACAAGCAGGGAAGTCTGTCCTTATGCCCAGGTTTGCTGTCACTCATGTTTTACTAGAGTAGTTTACAAGGGTGGAAGTTGTGTCTCAGAGCAGTAATTCAGGGAATTTTATGCTGAGCAAGGCAAGCAAGGGAAGACATTTAAAAAACCACCATATTAATAGTCTGTTTATTTAAACGAAAGACTCTTCTACCATACGGAGGTTACAGGAGAGATTGAAAGAAAACAGATGAATTGTAAGTAACAGATCCCTGCAGAGACACAGTCCTGCTAAAAGCTATCAGGCCTTTGTAAGTTGCTACACATCTCTTACAAAGCAAGTGAAGACATTAACTATCTTGTCTCTGCATCTTACACAGTCTCACACATGAACAAAAGCTACAGGAAATTAAACTGAGCCATCAGGCACAAACCAAATTTCAGAATGAGCAATGATTCACACAGTGCCATGGTTTTATGAGTCTTGACAATGGGAGAAGTGAGATTCAGCTCTCCACCTATAAGCTACCAGCCCTGGTAGATGGGAAAGCTCCTGGTCAACCTGTCATCACCGCTAGTGTTACCTTCAGACAACATGCTTATAGCCTCATCAGTCTGCTGGCTATCAGTGGAAGATATCTTCTTTGAATCGTGAACATTGCTTTGGTAGTTCACTGGTGAGGGATAGTCATTGTCACCCACCGTTGATGAGGACATTGATTCCCAGGGTATTTCTCTCTTCTGCCATTTCAGGTCCACTCTCCATCCTGTCCAGCCATAGAAAGCTAATGTGAAGAGGAAGCCTTGCATTGGATTAAGAATCCCCTAGAAAAGAGCAGTGCAACACAAGTTACATCAGCAAGGCTTCATTCTCAATTCCAGCAAAACATTCTGCATGCATTAACTTCCCTTACTCTGAATAACTGCTGTCTTTAGAAGATGATAACTGCACGCAAATAAAAGTGTACATTTTTCCTACTGAAGACACAAACAAGGCAGAGTGAGAAACTACAACCTGTTGTTTCTGAACACTAAGGTGTTCCTTGTGAACAGCAGGCATCAAATGGTTTTCTAGCATGGATTTTAGCTGGTCAATCCCCAGTGTGTTTTTAACATTCCTTACAAGCTCCACATTTTTTAATTCAGAAAAGCAAACATTTTACTCTTCACTAGAAGCCAAGTCAAATCTATGAGAATAGACATTAGCACATCCAGGCAAATTTTTTAAAATAGCAGCAATTGAACTGTCTGGAATTGTTGCAGATTTCTAAGCCAGTGAAAACGTCCATCAAAACAGAATGCAAAACGAGGGAAAGACACTGAAAAAGAAAATCCCAAGTGATTTCCAAAAAATCTTCTGTTCCCACTGCTTCAGGATGTGCGACAAGTAAATGGTTTTAGTGGTTGTCTTTCTTCTCACAGGAAAATCATACCTTTTTTACAGCCGGTTTAAATAATAGCTCAGCTGGTAGAGCTGACTGTGTGCTCTGTGTGACTGTGTGAGCAAGAGTAAGGTCCCTGTCACACGAATGTGTTCAGTCCTTGTCAGGGAGAAGGCTGCAACAAATCAGTTGCATTGTTTAACTTTCCAATATCAGGCAGCTCAAGAGCTTAAGTGCACAGAGCATATTCAGGCCTCACAGGTATTTAACAGCTTCAGAATAAACCTTCTTGAAAAAGGAACCTGCAATATCACCTCTGTAAAATCCCTTGTCAAATATTCCAACAAAAAGAGAGAAAAGTACAGGAAGACCCCAGTATCTTATAGCTATATTCTGGTGTGTTGCTTTAAAATTCCATCATGTATTTTCCCCTAATAGCTGTCCAAATGTTACAAGACGTTATTTCTTAGATAGAAATACAGTTTCTAATAAAGAAAACTGTAGCTACAAACAGACTATTAGTGGACAATGCCCATTTTTTGGGCAAATCTTCAAGAAACATGAGCTAAAATTCGCAGCTTGACTTATGACAGAGGTTAGAGAAGGTAGACCATAAATCATTGCAATGGTCTGTTCTGGATCTTAAAATGGGTAGCAACCACTCATCACATACTCCTGTAAATGGCAGAAAATCTTGGCCTTTGTATCTTTTAAGCAAAGTTTGTATGTTCCGAATGACCGCTCCTTCCTTTCTCTTACCTTTGACTTTTCTTCCCTGATTTTCTGAGCTTTTCCCCCAAACCCACTACACTGGTGCTGTTCCATGAGTCTTACGGAAGTGATTTCAAAGACTGAGAGACACCACGATTGACCTACCATTATAATCCATGTAATCAGTGCAGCACTTCTAATGTTTTTCAAAGGTGTTTCATTGATATCTGGCTGCATTTCAAGATAGAACAAAAGGCTCTCATTGATGATATTAGATGACCAGCTATTGCAGGAATAAAAAGGACAAAGAGAGCAAAACAGTGATATGTAGATATGTACATATATGTAAAATACAAATTACTTACAAATTATAGAAATTAGGAACCTTAATAAGGAGATTTTTTTTTTTTAACATTAATTCTCAATGTGAAGGGACCCAATAGTTCTCCCCGAGCTTATGATCAGAAAACAGCCTCTTACTTCCCACCCCAGGCAAAGAAATCCATATATCCATCAGAATTAAACCTGATCACGCACGCTTACTGCACTGAGATTATAAACAACTGTGATCTACAATGGCAACATTACGGACAGTGACTTCTTTTGCTTGTGTCTTGAATGTATAATACAGTTAAAGGAATACAAACATATGCATATACACTACAAAAGACTATATAAACTCTAGCATCTCTAAAATTTCAAGGTGATATTTGAGTAGATTTTCAAGATGTTTGTTAAAAAAATCTACAAAACAAAACTAAGTTCAACTTTAAAGTCCTTGAAAATGACATTAAATTTTAAGAATAAAGGTAATTTCTTTTTCTAAAGTAGGATGAGCATAATTAAACCTCATCCTCCAAGAGAAAATGAGAACATGATACACTAAAAAAATGTTATAGTCAATGGTTCCAATTTCTAATGGCTCCTAAGCAGTCAGAACAGCTTTTCTGCATATTTCTACAGGTACTTCAGGAAGGAAATGACCAACACCCGTATCATATTTTCTGAAGGGATTTGTGTTTATGTTATTTATAAAACAGATCCTATGTTTTTTTCACAGTCTAAAATCTTCTGCTCATCCCTCCCAAATATACAGTTTTCTCTTCTACCGCATATTGCTCAAAATTTCCTTGACCAACTCATCTCCTTTTTTGACCACTGGGATGGAACAGCATCTCCCCTAAGCTTCTAAGATGATTCTGTCTCAGACTTTCTGTACAGTAACCTCTGAGCTTTTACACTCTAAAGCTTACATTTTATCAGCAGATTAAAAGAAAGCAAAAACAAACAAACAAACAAAAAAAACAAAAAACAAGAACCACTTGTTTTGTTTGTTCGGGTGTTTTGGTTTGGTTTGGTTTTCTTGTAATAGGAAAACTCATAATGAGACAAAAAGGAAATAAACAGTCAAGCCCACTGTGTCCATGAGGAGTTGCTCCTTTCTTTCATGCTTGCTCCCAGTCTAGCAAGCTGACCACAGTCCCTTCGGTTGTAATGCACTTCTGTGGTGCCTCCAGTACAATGTTCTTTCTTTCTGTAACCCTAGTAGCCTGGATAAAACTCTGTTCCCTGTTATTTACAGCAATTTCCAGCATGCCATGCTTCAGGCTGCTTTGCTACTCTCAGTGCCCTTCTCCCACTGACTATCCCACCCTTCCCAGAAGAAACTTGTTTCCTGAGAAATGACCAGAGCACTCAAATATACAGCAGCAAGGACAAAATAAAAAGCAGCCTTTCTCCCTGTTCAGCCTTTTAAAGCAATGAAACATGCATTAACGTACCCACGTATGAAACAATCAAATACTTGCACTAACTGGGAAATTTGGCCATCTTTTCACTACTTCTAGGCTGCTTCCTTCCTCCTTCCCTTGCTTGTGTTACCCACGTAGGTGAACACTTTCCAGCAGTGACCATGTCTTGCTAGCTCACTGCAGAGGCCCACATAGCATGGATCACTCCCTCATCTGGTGCCTTTAATATTGTGTGATGATTGTAAAACTGCTCCTAAAGCAGGGCTTCTTTCAGTTCTCTCAGTTTTGCTGAGTGCATCCAGCACCTTCAGTCCCATCCACCACTACAGCATCTTTCACACTGGATGGTGCTGCTAGAACAGACATGCAGGGGATTTGGGAATGAGGTATGGGGCACCCTCCCTCCTTCCACATCTTCCTTGTGCCCTTCTTCTTCCTCTCCCTGCCCTACCACAAACTGCTATTTTAGTGGAGGAAGGTGGAATATCAGAAAAAAGATCAGATAATGAGAAATTTCACACACAACACACAGAGATTTCCTTTCTGGTGTGTAAGTCTGTATTTCCAGCCAACACTATAGTTGTTTCACACACTTGAGAGCTGCAGACGATAGAGATGATGCATCATATAATCATAATCAGAGCCGTAAGCATGCCCTAGAAGTGTATTTACTGTAAGTTTTCAATGGCATGTTTGATGACAAGCATGTAGAGTGAGCTCTGGGGAATCTTGCTGCAGTTTCAGGCAGCTTTAGGTTGCATTCAGCTTTTTTTTTTTTTCCTATTGTTCCTCAGTGTCATTGTTTTCCTGTTGGTTAAACATTTTTATCATTTCCTTGCAGCCTTGTGATGTACATGAGTGATTCAGCTAATTTGAGAACTAGTTTAGAACTGTCTTCCTTAGAAACTTTCCCTTCCAACCATAAGGACAAGCAAATGAGATAACCCATCAGATTCTGTTCTTGTCCCCAGTTGTTTTAATGTGGGAGAAGGCAGGTTAAAACAAAATGCATCTCTTACCAAACAATGAATACCAGCATAATTTTGAAAAAGCGCATCTGGATCTCCGTCCCCAGCCGTCTCTCGTTCTCTGTGTAAATCCCTTGTCTCCCTTTCAGTAAAGAGGCAACTGGAAAGTATAAAGTTGTGTTCATTAATACACGTACATCTCATCATTTGTAGGTACAAGGATACAGAAAACAGATGTCTGTAAAGAGGGAACAAAGGAACCAATGGGTTTGTCTCCAGCAGCAAATGTCATACATAGCCTAATCCTAAAGATTAGGACAATCCTAAAGAAGGACATCCACTAAGGTTTCCTGAAGTAGGTGGCATCCCACTAGCAGTTTTTTCTTCTCTCAGTCCCATCGAAAACAGAAAATAGTATGGTCAGCACAATTCTTTAACAAGAAGGTAGTGCTTACGCTTCTCTATGATGTTCGTGATGTAAGGAAGTATTTATTATGTGATGTTCAGACTGAGACAGAATACAGTCAACACTATTATACACTTCATATGGAACTGTGACATGAAGGCATAATTGACTACTACATCTCTAGAACCTGAAACTGTAATGTCAACAAAAATAGATAGATAAGCAACATACTGCTCAGATACCAAGGAATCGACATATGTACTCACACAAACATACTCATTGTGTATTTTCCCATAAAAGGAACAAACTTTGAGAGATTATCCAATTCATTCTCAGCCTCTAAACACTGCAGCTAGATCCAGGTATGGCTGTTTGCAGCTTCAGCAAACTAGCTGAAAAATCAGGAACACACAAAGAATTCCTCAGCCAAGAGATTCTAGTGTTCCATCTATCCTTAACATTTTTTGCTCCCTAACTACTTCAACATCCTTTCTTTAACCTGAAGCTCAATTTTACTATTCTCTACAGCCAAAAAGAAATTCTGTTGTTAAGAAACAGCTAAATTCCCACTTCATTACATTCTACAGGTCTCATGATGTAAATCTTTTTTTCTTGTTGTTGTTCTCTTGTTGCTTTTCTTCATCACTTTCATTAGACAGTGGAGAGAAACTGCAGGATATTTGAGAAAAGTATGCTTGCAAGACTTTAGAACAAGGAGACACAAGACATCATCTTTAGCAACGTGCATTTCTGAAAGTATGAAACAAAATTTGATCCTTAGCGCCTACATGAGCAGGTAGCAGAGGTAATACAGACACAAATATTAAAGTAGCTGTACAGGTAGGTACTTTAGCCACACAGTCTGCCAGAGGCATATGAACATATGTGCACATACCTACAAAATGCACACATACATAAACACACATGGATGGACATCGCATACAAGCACAAACATTTATTATTTTTGTTCTCATTGAAGACCTTTGCTGCTGTCTGTAGAAAATGTATTGTCCTCTCTTCTATAGGACATGCTAAAGAAGGTAAGTTTACCATTTACCTAACTACTGATTTCAATACACTCAAAAAAAAGTCTAAGCCTTCAACCCACACAAATACAGCAGCTAATGCAGAGTGGAGCAGTCAGCTTACTGACTGTTTTTAGAGACCAAAACATCAGTTACAGGTATTTTTGATTATTTAAAATTTAGGCTAAAGCTTATCTTTTCCCTATAGAGCATTTTGGTCCCAGCCTTTGGAGGTAGCACTTGTTTTCTGTTTGCTCATGCATAGAGACATTATTCCAAACTAAAATACAAAAACCAAAAACCATTATCCTGTATAAATTAGGCAGAGGCTTGCTGAGTGCTATCTCAGAAATGCAGGTTACAAGACTAAGATAATACAACGATGCAAATATGGTTTGTCTTTTGTACCAAGTATGTAGCAGCGCTCTGGGACTCTGAGATAAGTGAAAAAAATAGAAGGTACCTCCATAAAGGTAATTAGTTGTACTTCAGTATGTAATTGGTACAGTGTTGTCTACATCTATAAAACTTGGCAGTGTAACATCAGCAAAAACAGGCAGATATTCTACATATAAAATATATTTTTAAAATATTCCATGGATTTTGTCAGCTATTCCTTTGATGATGGGCATTACTGAGGAAAGCAGTGCAGATGGGATGAAGAATGAACTCAAAACACAGTCTCTTCTGTTGCTGTTCTTAAATACTGAATGTGTAGATTATAAGTATGAATTCAGGCACAGAAAACATCTAGCACTGATCATGTTACATTAAAAGAATTAATTGAATTTGTTCCTTTTTTTGCAGTCACATTTCTTCAAAGTGCCAATGCTAAATCAAACAGGAGCTTCATGATCTCAGCCGAGTTGTGTACAATTCTCACTTGTTTCATAATCTCAGAATCAGGAGTAACAAAATTCTGATCCTTTTTTAATTCTCAGTTTCAAAGAAGTTAAATGAACTATTGGATATCACCAACATTATCCTTAAAAAGGAATTAACTGCATTCCAAAATACACATTGGTACCAGTATTATAGTACCATCATATATCCACCATATGCTGCCAAAAATACTTCAAATCAAAAGTAATTTAGTAACATGGAAATAACTTTGCCAGTCTGCAATAGTAAGATCTAAAACAGCCTAACTTCAGTATGTGATCAGTGTACCTCTATTCTAATTTTCTATTGAGATTGTATCTCCATTTTGGTAGGTAATACTCTTCTACTCTCAACTGCATCTGTTTTGATATAATGAGGAGCTATTCCATATCCTTAGATACACAGGCATTACTTTTTACTTCTACTTTACTTTTATTTCTGTTTTGCTAAATAAGATGTACGCATTCATGCTGGCCATTAGGAACATACCTGCAGTCACTGTCCTTCTGAAGAGGACTGGGTTGACCACCAGCACCAGCAGGAGCGGGGCATAGGTTGTGATGTAATGTGGGATTGCGTGCTCCAGGCCTCTTTCACAGCTGAGAACAAATTATTAACACGTTATTCATTATTTTCTTTCCACATCTGGCAGTCTCAGCTATTTCATCATTGTCACATTTAACTAAAACCAAAAACAAACAAGAAAACAAACATGAAAGGAATTAAACAAACAGGTGCTAAACTTTTAATTCTCAAATTGTCGCAACAAATTCACACGGGACACAAAGTTGATTATTAACTCACACCATCTGTGACTTCTCCTCAAATTTAAAGGAGCAAATACAAAGCTGAAACCAGGAGCAGAAAAACAGGAGTGGACCAGTATTTCACGCCTGCAGCAGCCCTGTGCACTGTGTCACCTTCTTGGGCATCATGACCCTGCAGCGGCTCACAGCAGGAGCTGCACCACAGCACTGAAATGCATCACAGGGCATGAAGTGTCTGGGAGATATCTTCAGGGCCCACTGAAACCCAGGATGCACGGACTGAGTAGGAGACACTGCTCAAAGATCCAAAAAAAAAAAACAACAACCAAAAAACCAGTACTTGGATGTCTGTCTCTAACATTGATGAAAAGACATTCAAATGACCACAGAGTACCAGGGTTTTGGAGTCTGCTTTCAGAGGCCTGCTCACCTGGAAAGGGACGGGTAATAAAGCAGCGCAACACCCTCCACGCAGAGCAAAACTGCCAGCCCCCAGGCCATCATGTGGTACAGCACAATTGTACTGGAGGAGGAAGCAGGAGAGAGGTTATCAAGGACACTAACTCTCACACGGCAATGTTAACATAGGATAGGTGTGAGGTGAATAATGCCAGCAGCACACTGAGGAGGGCAGGAGGGATGGGGGCCTTTCAGGAGAAAAGGGAAATCCTGGCAGCTGGACAGGCTTGCACACAGAAATGTCATATCCTCCAACCAGAGGCCAGAAGTCTCTCCCCTGTTCCCACATCTGCAGAAGGAAACCCTGTGTCCTTCACTGCTCCTGCAGACAGCACATTCAGGAATTAAAAACAGAAGAAGGGAGCCAAACAGCCAACCGAGCACCCTTCTGAAGGCTGCAGAGAACTGTTTGATTTGGAGAGTCAGACACTGCTCCCACCTGAGAGAGGATCATAGCTCTGTGCTTAAAAAATCTTTCATTGCTGTTTTATATTAATGTTAGCACTTCTGCCACAAAAATCAATACCAAGTACAGAGCAGAGATAAAAACAGCATCTTGTTGCAGTAGTGTTATAATGCCCAATCTACACCCTATTTTTCTGAAAGTTAAATAAATTCAGTTACATTTAAATGCTAGTTAGGCACAAGCAAATCAATATCCAAGCATTGCCCTTGCAATTGAAGCACTTAGAACACCATTCACACAGATCATTATCTGGTAACCATGCGAACATCACGTGTTTGCACAGACTTCATTTATACCCTCAGATAGCTGCATGCAAACGCGGATGTACAGCATAAGAAGTAAAATAGGACATTCAGAGCTTTAATTCTAGTACCTCAGTCCCGCTGATCTTCTTACCACCAAGTAAGAATCGACAGCATAGCAAAATAACCACCAGAAGCCAGCACTGTATAACAGCTGGATCCACATCTGCAAGGAAAAAAAAGGCAGATGTCACAGCTGCTTCTTAAACATTGCTGGAGGTGAGGGGAGACTCAAACCTTTTGCCTGGGGATTTGTTCTTTAAATGTGTGCATTTTCCAACTGAGATTTGTGAGGTATGAATTCTTACTGCAGTACTGCTGTAGCCAAAGGATCTGCTCCTAGGTAAACTGAGCAGTTTGCCTTCACAGCTTGTTCAGTTATTTAGAAAACCTGGTGTTTGTTTACATCTCCAGTCTTAACCCTGAATGGCACAAATTAATCTAAAGTCAATTATTAAACAACGTTTTAGCTTTAAAGATTAGTAATGAACATTTTATTTAAAAAAATCGGTATAACATTTTAGTAAAATTTCATTTTTCAGTAGCTGAGGCATGAAAATATAACTGAGGTCTGCCTTCACCACAATGGTGGTGAATAGAAGTGCCTCTGTATCATGAGTTCTGTGTGTTGTGGGTATTTTATCCACATTCAAGAACTTGAGTTGGTGTTACTACTGATAAAGATGATATGCAGAAAAATAGCCAACTCTGTCCATACTGAACTCCATAGCTAATTTTTTACAAAAATCCAAAGGAAACAAGTTCAAGTCAAGTTAAATTCCACTGCATTTTTGAGTTGACCCTATACATTTTTCCCATGAGCCTATAGAAGATAACTGACCTCTCTTAGACCCTGTTTATAAATTCCAAATCCTTTCCCGACAGGAGCTGGCTATTTGTAATGGTCTGGGACTATTTTAATATTCAGAATACCTTCCCTTTGAGCCCTGCTTTCAGCTCATATCTGAATATCCTTTGTCACAGTTCCATAGTAGCATCCTTTTACACCTGGAAACCAACATACTTGTTACTGAGCCAGACATCAGTGACTTGAGTTCTACCATTCCTTCCTCCAAAGGTAAATCAAGCTGGGAAATACTTCCTTACAACAAGGGTACAGTTCCTATATCTAGTCATTTGTGACATGAATTATTCTGTATTTAATCAAAATGCTAAGACATTTTAATAATACATAAGCCAGAAAATAAAATTCCAGTTTTCCTGCTAGTGCACTTTATTCACAATGCTCAGTATGTAACTTAATCTGCACTATTACATATTTGCTGCAGTTAAGAAATGTAGAATTTACTATATATAAACGCATACATACAAAATTAAACCGTGAGGTCTTTCCACACATAAATTCCAACATAGTTTAGATGTTTGCCAAAATTAATAAAAAGCAGATGCACCTAAAAAACAAAATTTTCATATGCTATATAGCTTCTTGCAAAATGCCAGATCTTGCTATAGAGTATCTATCTAAAGATCTCATTTGAAGGAGATGCTTCAGAGCCTCACTATTTGGAATTTCACTGACTTGTGTGTAAATGAAATAAAACAACAGCACCAGAAGAAACCTAAAATAGAACCAGAAACATTTTATTAACTCACATGAGAATATGTTAGGGGAAGTAGGGTCATTTTTCATTCCAGTATAATTAAATTTAAACTTAGCAAGTGACTCAAACTGCAGCACTTTCCTGGAGCCCAAGATAGGGAAAACAAAAACTGCAGTAGACAGCTCTGCTGCTTGCCATTTAACCTGAGATCAAAATGAAAAACAAACAGTCTGCATACAGCATCCCTGTTACTGCTTTAAAATATTACTTTCTGTGGTAAGGGCCAGAAAGCAAAACTTAAGCCATATGGAAACGTGGTTTTCAAACAGGGCATTCCTGCTGCAAGATATTGATGTTGGCAGTTTCACCTTCTTTTAAGAAGAAAAATAATAAGCTTTTGTATCTCATAAGCAAAAATTAAACATGTATGATGGAAAATTGAGAACTAATAGGTGTGTACAGCTGATACTCGCTTCTGCCATTATGTCTGAAATTGTTATTATTTAGGCATATGAAATAAAGCAAGTTGCATTTTGGCACATCTTATTTAAAAACTACAAGAGCTGAATAGTTTTATTTATAAGCAGCATATTTCTTTTCTATGTTGTAAGCTTTGATTTGTTAAGATACTACCATTATTGCTGATGCGTGCATTCTTTGGCTACCCTACATTCCTGCTGAGCTGAGGAAATTGGCATAATTATCTGTGTTTTAGTTAAAAAAAAAAAAAAAAAAGTGACATTTTTCTTGTGTAGTAAGCTCAGATTTTATACTTCAGGCAATAGTGTGATTGTATTACTTAAAATTTGCACTTCTGTAATGCATTTGCATTTTCTTTTTCTATGTTCCTTAATCCAGAATCCACATCAGGGATTTAAGGAAATTCTAACCCCCTTTGGGACGCAGTATGTTGCCTTTTGGATCCTGTGTGAGCAAAGCAAGCAGGACTGTACCCCTGTACCTACCGCGCTGCCCACGCAGAAGACAGAGGGCCACACGTCAGTCCCGTTGGCCACTGAGATGTTGGCAACAAAGCTCGGGAAGCCCAACCAGACGCTCGACCTGAAGATCACACCTGAAGAGAAACGCATGAGTGCTCTGTGCCTGTCAGCGTGATCACAGTCACATGCTTGCTGCTGGTCGCATGTTCTGCATTGCGGCCTGGATTCTGCATGCTCACAGGACTGTGGCTATTGGGGTGTGCAGTGCAGGCCAGATGCCAGGGTGAGGGCTTACAGAAAGCAGCTGTGAGCCTGGAGGACTCGCCATGTCATGCCACAAAGATCTAAGCCTCATTTATCTACAGATACTGTCATACACTTCCCTAAAGGGAATCAAGAGGCATTTAACGTATCTGCATTGCCAGCAACTAATGACTTACAATTTGATTTACAGATATTCATATTGCTAATGGTCATTTCTCTGCAACTCCTCATTTCAGAAGAATGTTATTTAACATTTTTCTCTGTCCTCATTTTTACAAGCAGCTTTTTTCCTCTCTGTCAAGGAGCTGAAAAAAGCATGGTTTCACTATTAGGTAAGAACAATACTGGCTTTTTGCACGAACTCAGTTTGCTGCTGAGGTTTAGTGAGTTTGCTCAAAATAGGCCCTAAGTCACCAACCCACAGCACCAGCACACCATGCTTCCCACCCTCCAAGGTGAATCTAATTCAAGAACAATTGCGGATAAATAGCTTTTGTTAGCCTGTGAAAGAGAAAAGGAGAAAAATAACTTTTTCTGCTGCTGGCTTTATCTGACTGAGATTAGGAAAGATTTATTCTCTGAAAGAGTGGTCAGCCACTGAAACAGGCTGCACGGGGAGGTGATGAAGTCACTGACCCTGAAGGTGTCCAAGGAACATTTAGGGGTTGTACTGAGGGACATGGTTAGTGGGGAAATATTGGTGGTAGGCGGACAGCTGGACTAGATGATCTTGGAGGTCTTTTTCAACCTTCGTGATTCTGTGGTTCTATGGTTCTATGATTGAAAGGCCTTTTGCCAGGTGCTCTTGTGCTCTTTCCATGTCTTTCTCTATCTTCCCATCCATCGTCTGTTTTAATATTGGTTCTTCTTACGTACCATGAGAAGACCTGGCTAGGTGTGAAAGTGGAAAATGTGTAAAACCCTACTCCTTTCACAGGCAGCCAGAGAGACACAACAGTACTACTTCAGTTATCTAAAATGAGAGAAAAGATGCTAATGTGGAAAAACTCAGCTTTTATTTCCCCCGTATATGTCATGATAATTTCTGTCTAAGACGGCAGTAAATTCCGGGTCAGATTTAGACAGCCCATTGCTGGAGGCAGGGCTCCCTGCTAAGGGTGCTTCTCTGCTTCCCCATGCCAGCACAGTGCTGCAGTTCTACACACCATGCTGCCAGCCTGCTGTGTGCAGTTTCGGGTTGGTATGTGAACAGCGGCACTGACTCTGAGAGGATTTACAGACACGTGCAAGTATTTTCCAAATGCAGTCCAAAGGATCAGCTAAGTTGTGGAAGTCAGCTTTAGCTATTCATGTGCTCCCTCACTTCTGCTTCTACACCTTCCTCTAAGTGTCAGCCAGTGCAGGGTTTTAATTTGAAGTAGAGACTTTGTTGAAGATTTGCCAAGAACTTTTACTTTTAAAACTTAGCTATTAAGCAAGACCTTTCTCCCCTCCAGGCCTGCCCTTTTCTCATCTTGTTCAGCCCAAACCTTCCCCTGAACACACGCAGCACGTTCCCAACCATCTGCCAGCAGGGCCTGCTGCAGCACACGCAAGGAACACCAAGATGGCGCTTACCTGAGCCACCGAGGATGTCACACACGGAGATAAGGAGAAGAATGGTGGAGGAGGAGGAGGCTTTGGGCATCTTCCGCAGGCTCTGCCCCTTCTTCGGCAGGAGCTGCAGGATGGTCAGCAGCAGGCTGGCTGAGGCGCTGCCAATGCAGACCGCACAGAAGACCTGGGGCTGGAAGCTCATCACAAGCTGCGTGGCTGCATCCCTGTTGGGGCAGCAGTAGGTTTCTAACCTGGGGGAGGCCATGAAGCATCCAGATGGCGGAGGGGGCCTGCGAGCAGAAGCCGCCGCTGTTGCTTCCAAAAGGCAGCGTGAGCTTTTTCTTCACCCTCCCCATTAGACCTCAGTGGTGAGAATCACGCGATTGAAGGATCATGTGCTGCTGCTGCTGGAAGTAAATCCCCTAGAGCGGCCTTTCTCAGCCTCTCCTAGCAAGGAGATCAAATCAGAACAACAACACACAGTGTAATCTGAAACATGCCCCATGCTTGCTCAGAGCCATTGGCAAGAGTTCACTCAAACCTTTCTGCTTGCACAGTGTGTGATACAGGAAGCTTTAAACCCATCAGAGCATTGGAGATGGCTTAAAATGAATAAGGATGGGGATACCAAAGAAGGAGCATTACATTTTAATTGTATTTCATTTTAGCCCCCTCCCACACATTGCACTTTAATTACTGAAAATTAATTCAAAAGATGGGCCTAAACACAATCAGTCTCAGCTTTTGCTGGCAGAGCAGGTCTATAAATCCACACCCAGACCCAAATCTAAATTTTAGGGATCCAACCCACCCACCTCTCTAATTAAAAAGAGAAGCACTACATCCTATCACTGTGGAAAGAGATCACCTTCAGGAAGCCATATTAACTTTATCCCATTTAAACCACAAGCACAGAGTCTTCTCTTCAGTCTGTGTTAAACCAGAGGTGGAAAATTCCAGGACTTTTGCTTCCACAAGAATATTTTTCTTTCTTTTTTTTCTTTTTTTTTTTTCTTCTTTTTAGTAAGGGTTTAATATGAAAACAGGAATTTGAGCTGACATGTTTGTTTATTCTTTATAAGCTAACAATATCCTTTAGTCCTGTTAAATGTAGCAGAAAATACAATCACAAATACAAAAATTAACTCTCCCCTCTCAGACAAATTTCAAATGCCCTGCGTCAAACCTCACACCTCTGTAAACTGGATTTATAGGGACACATTGAGGAAACACAGAAGGGAGCATAGGTGAAGTGAATTGGATGCTAAATAACCATTGTGGACATCATAATTAGTCCTTATAAGAACAAATGGTCTAATGTTATTTTTCTTATCTTCTAATGCCCTTGTTTATATGTTAGCAGAAATTATGACACCTGACTGAGTGGCAGAGGGATGCTGTGTATATGGTCATTATGAAACATAGGCTTCAGCCACTAAGCTTGCCTACAGCAGAGAAATCAGTCTGGATGCACCAGTCCTGTCAACGCTGCAGCATCCAAAGAACAGGATGTTAGCTTACAGATCCAGGTGTCACATCAGCAAGTGCCTCTGCTCCCAGTGCTGCCTATAATTATCTCTGTCCACCAATTCCAGAGCCTAGGCTTAGCCTACAGTTGTTCAGTTCTTCCCACCACCAATGTGCATAGTAAGCTGCATGGCTGAATAGGCTCTCCTGGCTGTAACAGGGACTGAGGCATAGTTACTGCCTTTTATAGTAGACAGTAGATGAGCTAGAAGCTGAATTATCCTCTGGATGCTTTTGCTGCTTTACGGTACTCAGAGATTTTACTGCTCATCTGTGGATGAGGATAAGTGAGTGATCCAGATGTTATACTCCTATGTGCTGCTACTACCATGCACACAAAGAACATAGTGGAGACAGCAAGGTTGTGAACCAGATTGCCCTGCTCCAAAACACATCTTCTTGTTGAGGTGAAAAATATCTCTTCTCTGTTGGTCTGAGGCTCCTTGGACATTGTTCTATGAAGCAGCAGTGAAGCAGCAGTGCTCCCAGATGAAGCAGCAGTGCATGGAGCTGCTACCTCTCTGTGAAGATCCCACACTGCAATCACCTGGCTGGCTCTGATATCAGTAAGTGTAACAGAAAATGCTCTCCTTTTTTCTCCTACAAATCACTGTCTAGAAGACAATGACTGCAGTTTTATTTTCATGCAGATTCTGGTAAATTCACAATAAACACTAAAAGCCAGTCTGGAAGAAACTACTAAAATTTATTAGAAAGGAACCACTTCCTGTGCTACTAAAGAACAAAAATTAAAAAACATCCCACAGACACATTATTACTTAAAATAAAGCCATTGTATCCCACATATACGATGCAAAGACATACATATTAAAAGAAATGATGCTTGCTCTCATTGAAGGATTGCTTTAGTTTGCCTGATCTATATATGGAGCCGTATTATTTTTAGATTATTAGGCAGAAAGTGAAACTGCTCCATTGAAGCCTTTCATTGATTCTCTGATTTTCTTGTTTCCCTCACTATTCCTGTTGTCCTTCTCCTTCTTTAAAATGTTTGAAAGTGAGTCAAGTCGTTATCCTGGCCATCTGTCCTGGTTTCCAGATAGGAATGTTTAGTGTATTTTGTTTGTTTCTACTTATCATTTGTTTCCACTGTTCCTGACTATGAATTTACCACTTAATTATTTTGACTTCTCTATCCCTTTTGTTCGGCCACTTCAAAATCACTTGCATTTCTCAACTGCAGACTTACACCATGGAGGTTAAGATTTTATATCTGGTTCCCCTTTTCTCTCCACAGTTTTGCCAGCTGTGCACCCTGATCTTATTCTTTACTTCTCTAAGTGGAGGACTGCTTTTTAACTGCTTCTTCTAGGTCACTTCTCTCCTTCTCTCTCAGCATTTGATCACACATTTTCTTACAGAGTGGTTATGTGATTTTTTCACTTCACATTTGTATTGGAAACAAGGAGTGTGACCTGTGGCAGAATAGATATGAAAAGAAAATAAAGTGATTAATGAGTGAATGGATACCTGCCATGATGCAAGCAGACGTGTCTTCACACGGGAACATCTGAGGTTAAATAGGAGGCGGATCAGCCAAACTAATGAGCTGCCCAGCATCTCAGCTGGTAAGAATGAGCTAATCTGGCCCTCACTGTTGCACTCAAAGCGTAAGAGTCACAACAGTCATAGAAATCCAAAGCTGGTTTGGCAGCCTTATACCTGAGATTAATTTGGCTTCACATGATTATGAAAATGAGAGGATAAAAGCCAGGGCCAACAGCAAAAGAAACAAAAAAGAATGAGCAAAAAGAGAAGAATTACGTTGCCTTGCTGAGGAACACTATTTGGTATTCAATAGTATTTCAATCTTAGTTCCT